GCTTAAGTAATCAGAGGCGGTAATTATTTCTACGACATCCCACTCAACCAATCGAATATTTCCAATTCTTCCTCCCCATACACAGTCTAATCAAATACAGACAAAAATTATAGGAGGGGGAAATCAATAAAAACTACAGACTAAAAGTACAAAATAATTTGTGTTATGTTCTATTTTTTCGTATGTAAGTAGAGTTTCGAGACTACTAGTAAATCATTAATGTGCGATGTATTCACCCTATTTAGTTTAAGCCGATTTAGGACTTATAGTAGAATTTTCCCACAATGAAATGAGTAGAGCTGACGTTTCCCTTGAATTCGTACTATAATTCGAGTAGTATGCAGTGAATCAATCTCGTTGCAGCTCATGCTAATTTTACTCAAATATCAATCGGAGTATAGGAGCAGACCCAAAATGTAAACCAAATACTTTATTTTATTCTCCGACTCTCCGGCATAACACCTAAGAAAAGAATTATGCAGGCAATATAATATTAACAAGGTACCTGAAACTCATGTAAAGCATACATACCTGAGCCCACTTGGAATCTCTTTGCACGCAAGTGGAAGAAGTCAATGTTCCACTAAAGCCGAGCCCAGGCATTGGAACCAAAGTGCCAACTTTAGAGCCAGAAGAAGGTAGCTCATCTACGGTTGCAGTACTAACGGGAATGTTTGAGCCTATGTCGTCCATGTTCGAAACATTGACAGAAGTAACCAGGACAGAAGAAGCACCCAAGACGTCTCGTCGTGGCCAGCGATCAAGCTCATCGAACAGACTAACTGTATCTGGGTCAACATAATCCTCGGACACAATCGATGAAGATATAGCCATGACGCCTCGAGTTTCTGCTTCAGCAGCGTAGCCAAGTTTATCGGCTAAAAAACGTGATGCTAGAGGGCTAGCGTCTGCGTTCGAAACAGCAGGAGCCGCCTCCTTTGAGTCGGCCAGGAAGCCAGTGGCACTCAGGCTACTCTGAGTGCGAAGACGCTTTTGCAATGAACTCTTAGCTGATTTTTTCAGGCCAGGTTGTCGACGGTCCGTTGTGGATATCCTACTGTCAGCAGACAGACCAGAACTTGTCGTCGTCCTAGGACTTCCCAGAGGATCTCCAATCTCATCTTCTTCGTAGCCAACTTCATCTTGTTCCATTCCAACATCGTCATCCCCATCCTCTTCATCCTCATCTCCGTCGAATTCTTCTTCCTGTTCTTCACTGGCGGCTTCCCCAGTTTCGTAGCCTTCGCCTGAAAGTGACAAATCATCAGACATGGCTCGACGCACAGCAGCCTCTGTTAACATAGGACTTAATGTCTGAGCCATATCACCTGGCTCTTGTCTTATGGTACCTAAATCCTCTCCAGTGGTTGGACCTGCCCTGGCAACCTGGAAACAGTCCGGTCTGACTACTAATGGTGAAGAGGTAGAGGCGGGACCCTGGCACAGCAAAGACGGGTGATGTTGCTGTGGTTGATGCGAATGGGATTGACATGCGAGAGACTTGTGCATTTGCTGATGGTGTGTGGCAAGATGCGTAGCAAAGGATAAATCAGGAGCTATATCAGCTTCGGAAGCAGTCGGAAGCCAGTTACGCCTGCCCAATGCGGAATCATGCGCCATGGATAATGCTTCTGAATCCATATCAGCGACGGCTTCATAATATAGGGGAGGCGCGTTCTCGATATTTCGAAAGTCGTTCATTGCTGTATGAATGATAATTTAGATAAAAAGAACAAGTGATAGAGAGATTATTTAACAATCCAGTAGATAAATTCAGTGAGACTTAAATGTACAGCTAAAATCTTAACAACCTGATTCGTTCAATAGATATCCTGTCAGAATTTTGAACTGATTTAAATGCCAGCTAGTTTGAGTTATCTGTAAAGAATAGTAAGAAGGTTAAGATATTTGACTCAGTTCTTGGCAGAATAAAGCGTGTTAAGGTAGAAATTCAAAGAAAAAATAGACAAAACTCTGTTCAATCAGGCGTGCTGCTACTAATAGCACTGATACATACTTATGCACAATCCTGGATTTAAGGAGGCAATTATAGATTTAAGATACTATAGCATAACTAACAGCATTCCTCGTTAATTAAATATAACCCCCAACATAATAAATCTTCCAGCT